GTCTAAATAGTTAAGAGATCTCAGCCTTTGAAAAGAGGTTTTTCACTGAGTCTGATCTGGAAGGAGTTGCCACCATGAATATTTTGAAAACAGACTGATGTAAAACTTGAATTACAGCCCTTCAATCACCTGATATGTACTGCTTTCATTGGTAGCTTTTATTGATACATTTAATGTTTGTCTAGGATTCCAGTTATGTCTGGCAATAGGAAAAAAAAATAATAGAGGAAGTTTTAAAGAATTGTTTCATCTTTTTCTAACATAATTATAAAGTAGGTTTATAATCAAAATTGTAAGAAGTGTAACATTTATTAGAAGCTAAATTTGAATGACAATAATTTTGCTATGATTGTTTTTGATGATAAACTGGAAACAGCATACAGTGATCACTACCATATGTATTTAGACTTGGGTTGGCTAGACTTGTATTCTCCCAGGGAAACTGGGTACTTCAACTGGATTTCATTTTTTAAAATTTATATCTCACTGAGAAATTTCCAACTTAGTTTCCAATCTATTTATTCACAAGAATTCTTAGGGTTTCCACTAACTGTTGCAGATGTTTTTTGCTAGCCTTGGTTCCGCAATCTTGGAAGAAGCTCTCAGGAGAGAAAAGGCCTATTTTACGGGATCAGGCTGTTTATTCACGCTGAAGTTAAAAGGCCTAGCTGTATCATGTTGCAAACAACAGCAAATTATCTGAACAGATAGATTCCTTTTCATTACGAGGATAAATGAGCACGTACACACACACACAGAGATAGACACACAGGCATACGCATATGTATGCATGAACTGTTTGGGAGTAAATCTGAGAAAGAAAATGAGGGAGGGATGAGGTAAGAAAATGTTAATGAGAGAAAAATAACCCCCTTGGGCTTAACTCTACTCCTGTCAAAGGGTAATAAAGGGGTTTTGTTTGTTTTGCTTTGTCTTGTTTTTCCCCCCAGTGAAAACAAATGGCTGAGGCCTGATCCTGTTCCCGGCAAAATTATTGTAAAACCTAGAGTTGCAAGTTGAGCAAAAAAGGGACGCCTGTTGCTCCTTGCCTGGACAGAGGAGCTTGAAGGTTTAGAGCCTAAACCAGTGCTGTGACATTAATGTCAGAAAGTTTGGGCTTCTTCATTTATGAAAAAGTGTCCATGTCTCTTTAGGGGCAGAAGTTAGTTGGATTCAGTGGTAACAAAGGACCTTGCTTCTCAGAGATTCTTAAGAGCTGCCAGATAAAATTAGGGTTTCATGAAAGGCTGAGAGAGTGCAGACGCTCATAAATAACGATACTGTCCTCCTTCCTTCAACAGTGCTGCAGTGGGGCTCTTCTGGCAGCAGGCACTGTGTTAATGATTTTAATATGCTCTAAAAATGAGTTTTATTTTTTAATGAAAGTCTTGCATGCTTTAAAGAGATTTTTGTCCTTAATGGGAAACCAGAAGTTACTTTTGTTAAAACAGTATAGCCATCTCTTCTTCCTCATCCAGAATGCAGAATTTCTACCTTAAAAATTCATTATAAATTGCATAAACCACATATCCATGAACCTCCTTGGAGTCACTCTGTCTCCCAGTTCTGTGTCTCTGGATGTCAATTGTACCCTAGGTTGCACCTTACTTGGTGAGGGTGAGAGCAGAGCGGGATCATGGTTTGTCATTTGTTTTATTTACAACAGAAGCTTTCCTCTATCCTGCTGGCTCTGTCCCAGTGGTCAACAGAAAGCTGAAAGTGAAGAAAGTTGATAGAAAGGTTTCCTCTCTAATCCTTCCCCCCAGCCTAGAAGTAATCGAAATATTTCTTCTTATAAATGTGAAGGTTTAATCTCATTTAAAATGTCAAATTGAGTATTTGTGTCGGGCCGCAAAACTAACTGTTATATCGTAATATTTTGTGCCCCAGAAAACAGGTGTTTGCATTGTCCTAGTCAATGACTCAGATGACTCAAAACAGCTAAGTGTAAATGACAGTCAGGGGGAACCCCTTTTCAGGTTTTTTTCCTTGCTCCTTGTCTGTAAGAATTAAAACTATTCTACTCATCTTTTTAAAAAAAGATAAAAAAATTACAAGCACAAGGACACATCACCAAAATTAAAAAAAAAAAAATAAAATCACAAGCCCTAAGCAAGCACATAACATTCAGCTGAAATCACCTTCTATTTAAAGCAAAAGACCCACCAAACAATTAAAGCAACAACAATAGCAAGCCTTCCCTCACTCGATAGTGCTGGTATCCTCCATGCCTTTTGGTTTTGTTTCAGAAGGAAATCCACCTTCCAGCCATTCAGCCCCAGAAGCTCCTTGGAACAGGTGGCGTCTAAGCTCCAGGGGTAAGCAGCAGGCTGAAAGGAAAGGCTCCCAAGTGCCTCCTACCATAGCCCGAGAAAATACTTCATTACTTGTGTTTCTTTATTGAAATACAGTCTCTTTTATAGCTGAGGCGATACAGACAGCTGTTCCATTTATTTCAAATGCTCCCTGTTTCTGGGGTAATCTTTTAGAGCTGGTAGCTGAACCTCTGAGCAAAGTCTGCTTGACTACTTAAATCGGGGTGAAAACCGAGTAGTCCAGAGACTGAGAGGAACTTTTCTGGTAGTTCTGGTTAATGAATTTAAATTTTCTTATTATTCTTTTCTTTATCTTGCAGCCAGACAGTCTTCCCACAGGAACTGATTTCAAGTAACAAAACAATTTGTAAAAGCCTTCATCAAAACTAAATCTTACTGTGCAATGTAATCTCTCCTTGGGCCAGGATTTTGTTTTTCCCTTGACCAAGCTATATTGCTGGCTGTTTGGTGACTCCAGAATCTGTGTCACATCTTGATCTGTAAAGAAGCTGGGGCACGTGCACCAGAGTATATTGCACTTGCCTTTCCCATTGCTACTGTCAGCGAGTGTTGTCAATTTCATTAGCGTGGCTAACGGTTCTAATTTACTTCTGGTTTATATTGGCTTCAGGGAAAGCAAATACAGTAACCCTTCACTTTAGGTGGCACGAGTAGAACTAGATTTGTTATGCCACAGCACAGCCGAAAGAAATAGAGTTAGTTCTTGGAAACAGACTTATTTACATGATATGTTCTTGTTAGTGCTATATTGTCATGGCTGTCTACATGCTTAACAGACTTGGACACAAAGATCTGGAGAAGCATTGTAAAAGAAGCAGGGAAAAGTGGAACAAAATAAATTAATTACTGGAAATAACAGAGAAAACAGAAAATTGATACCTACCAAAATGCAAAATTGAGACAAGTTTAAAACGTTGATAACATAAAAGAAGGAATTGAATGTGGTCACACTCAGGTCTCTACATTTAAAGAAATCCCAAAAACAAACAAACAGAGAGTGGTAACCACTATAAATAGATGCATTCTAGCCACTCCAGGTGTGTGTGGACCCTGCTGTCTGCAAACTGCCAAAGCTAGCTCTTGGCATCTATAAAAACCACAGTTTGTTCCCCTCTTTTCCTTGTCATTCAGATGTCTGGGACTTTTGTTCCTATTAAATCTAGGTAGTAATTATCTTTAAACAAAAGATACTTATAATGTATACATATTAATGTATTAACACAGATTATTTTGTCAGGACCAGGAACGGGACATATCAGATGAATCTTTTACAACATTGAGCACACCTCTGTGATGTTAGTCCATGAAAGGGAGAAAGCAAAGAACTGAGCATAAGACAATTTGGATAAATGTTGAAAACTGCTGGGCCTTGACAATCTTGCAAGACACCACAAATACTGAAATCTTGGTTTGTGAGATGGGGGCTATGGGGAAGCTAAAGCATTTAAAGATTGATAAATAAGCATATAGTTTTTTTTAAATTGTCTGAAATAAACCCAAATTACAACCTACTCTGAATTTGTAAATCTGCAGTGCATGCTGAAGAAGTGTTAAAAGGAAATTATGTTCCTCATTCATTGGCAAACTGGCAGAAGAAGAGATTAATCACTATCATTTTCTTCAGTAATTTCAAGGGGTATGGAGAAGGCTTTCAGAACAATTCAAATATCTGAATTGCAGAGCACCAAGTGAAAGGAGACAATAGCAGCTGATTTCTGTGAACTATGTTGCCCAATGGCAAAACATTTTTTCTTTCTGAGGAATGCATATTCCAGATATCTGCTGCTGGCATTTTGTCATGTACTTCATCGGATGCTGTGCTTCCTGTTTTGGATCGTATCCTGAGCACATGTGGTAACTAACTTTTATCAAACTTGACAGCAGACCACTGTTAGATAGACTAGTTTCTGCAAAAAATTGTGTAACTTTTTGGACTTAAATGTAAGGAAGTTCAAACCCAGCTGGCCATCCTCCAGTGGGCTTTGTGTAAAACTGCTCTGGTTGATGATTATTAAGAACATTCTCTTAGAAATAATCTCTAAATCAATTTTGAGACATTACAAGTCCATAGCTTGTCTCACTTTAGGAAAATTGTCTGGAAAGTTTAATTTCTTGAAGTTAAGTAAAGATGACTTTTCCAGATATCAAACAGAGAAAGCCTGATTGTGACATCTCCATAAATGCTCAGGTCACAGCTGCCAATTTTAAAGCCAAGAAATACTCTATGAAAGGGGGGTGACAAAACCTATCTTTGGAAACTCTGGGTTCAGTGTCTGACAGAGTATGAATCCTAACAAGACAAGCCTATTTCTACACAGTTTCCAGTCATCAAAGGAAAACCCTGTGGAATTTCAAGAGAATATTCACCTTTCAATCAACTCATCAATTTCTAAAGCAGAGATGTAATTCTGTGTTGAATTTTATTGTATGACTTACAGACTTTCAGAAAGGATCTAATTTATACAGAACATTTCTCCACATCTTTATTGTCTTCATCTGTATTATATTACTTTCGATATAAGGAAGAAGTTCTTTACTATGAGGCTGGTGAGGCACTGGAACAGGTTGCCCGAGGATGTTGTGAATGCTCCATCTCTGGCAGTGTTCAAGGCGAGGTTGGATGGTCTTAGGTGGCATGGTTTAGTGTGTGGTAGGGTGGGGTTGGAACTAGATGATCTTAAGGTCCTTCCCAACCTATTCTATGATTCTATATTCTATAGGATTTTCCACATGGACGAGGAAAAGCCCTTTATTAACTGAAACAAGGGAAACCTGTCCATGTAAAAGCCATGGTGTGAAGGTATGTGCCAATGGCTCAGTTCAGTCTCATGCAGAGATACTGGAAGCCACCCCAGATATTTTTGCTGGCTTATGGGAAGCATTATAACTGTATTAACATAGAATTCCACCCAGGCTCATATTGTTTGCTTCTCAGCTGAGTTTATAGCCTATAGATGGTGTTGTACTAATGCAAAGAGTATTTTGATGGTTCACAGTAACCTATTTAGATTCCAATTGGCCTTTTTGGGGCATCACATCCTGTTAAGCAGACTCTCCAAAAGTGGCTGGAAGGAAGAAAACACTTGTGTGAGAGATGACTCACTCAATGTAAGTTGAATTCACTGCATTTCCTATGGAAGCTGTCAACCAATGGGAATGCCAAGTGCAATTATTTACTGTTGATCCTGATCTTAGAAATTATCTTCCAAGGAATAAGCAGACTAATGTGCAGTGAGGAGGAGGAAAGTGTTTCTAGTGTGGTTGAACAGGTTAGCCACAGGCCTAGTGATCTGACCTAAGGCACTGGAGCTGAAGTTTTCAAATGCCTCTGCCTTCCCACTTGTGCACTTTAACACAGTAAGAAATGAGTTCTTCCAAAGCACGTATGAATCTGAGCCCAGACTATGTCTGAGATTTTAAAATAAAAGTTTAGAGCTTCCTAGAATGTACGTAGAATCAATGCTATGTACCATAATTTGCACAATTTTGTGGTGATTTTTATTATTCTGTATCATGCAACTTATGATTTCCATTAATAACAAAAGATTTTTCATTTGATTTTTGCAAGTGGATGGCTGTTTTATCTGCACAATGAAAACTGCAGTTTTAATTTAACAATTCACCCCCTTTGCAACAGCCAGAAATTTCAGTCACCACATGTGTCTGGATTCCTTTACATTATCCTAACACACATGCAATTGTTAAACTAGACTTTGACAATGAAATTAGTGTCACGGATAAAAAAAATAAGAGCTTTAGCCTCTAGGTGCACCTGTTTACTGCAACTAGGCAGGCTCAGTCAGCGTGTGAGTGTGTGTCAGTCTGCTGTTGCAGCTGTTCCATTACATAAAAACCATGGTATTTATTAAGTTTTAAGCCTTTCTGAACTCCGTAACTCTGGCTTACAAAGGGAGGCTGTAATGCTATGTCTGGACTGTGATAATAGTTCAGATAAAGATCCAGCATGTGACTCCTAATGACAGCATTAAGTCTATTGGAAGGAACTATATCAAACTATATGCAGTAAAGCAGACAGCAAATATGAACCATGAAGAATTAATGATTAACTACTCACTGCATGCTTCACTGGGAACAGCACTGCCATTGAAGGAGTCTGCAAACTCTGTGGAAGAAGTTAACTCACAAACTGGAATTGCACAACAAAATAAAAATCACAAATGCACTGCTTAAACTTTGGGTGCATATCTTTCACTGTAAGAAAGCAATTTCCTTTGCAAATAAAAGTCATGTTCCCAGTCTTGCAGGTGATTGCACATGGATGAGACACCCCTGTACCTTCAAAATACTACACACACACACTGAATTTAATATCAGTCCCAGGCATGTCCACATGGATTCGGCTAAGGTGTAGGAGTCCCAGTTATGACGAACAACAGAACTCTTAGACGCTGTATTACATCTTCATTATTCTTTAAAGACTGTTTGTGGTTCTTCTTTTTCTAGGAGAAAATTGTGTGGGATTACACTCATTAATCTTTGTGCATTCTGTAATTTCAGCAACCCATAACATTTGAAAGCTGACTTTGGAGGTGCTGCCTTGTAAATTACTTCAACTTTAACATCCACATCATTGAGAGAATTGGCTGGAAACTTTAGAGAACCCAATGCCGTGGCTACTGACAAGCTGTGAAGTTAACATCCATTTCCCTCCATTCCTGGCAGCAAGGAATTGCTGCCTTGCAACTGCTCTTTTACTTTTGTGTAAGATACAACTCTTGGCTCCTGCTGCCCTGGGAATTCAGTGGGAGATGAAAATAGTGGGCAGGAGCACCTGCCTCTCCCAGGTATGAAATCCTGTTGCCAGCTGGGGTGTTGTGGGTCAGCGCTGCTCATGTCAACAGCTTGAGAGCCAGCCTGCTCTGCTGCAGTGCAGGGTAGTGGTGCCCTGGGGCTATCTGACCTGGGTGGTTCCAGACCTACACATGCCCAAGGATTTCATCCTGACCTGCCTCTCTACCCTGAGCACCAGGGATGCTCAAGTGAGAGACAATGCTGTATGAAGCTCTTTCTGTAAGCAATGGAGGAAAGCAGACAACCCCAAAGGTCATTTCAGCCTGCCTCAGATTTAAATCATCTAGCTGTAGAAGACTGCATTGAAAGTGTGAAATGATGACGCTCAAACCTTGAGGCTTGCTGGAAGTGCATGGTTGTTTACCTAAGTCAAGTGCCAAGTACAGAAATTATGTTTATGCCAATACAGTTCTATTTATGGCACTTCTATTTATCTTGCAGTCGTGAATGAGCCTAATGAAAATGAGGACAAGCTCCAGCATATTGAGGAAAATAGGTTATGATGTTCTCTTCCTTAAGCTGCAGAAAATTTTCAGTGTTAAACAAGAAGTACTTAATGGTTTGGGTCAGTATTTTGGCCCAGTGTAGTGCAACTCTTGATAGCTCCACCTCCTGGCACCGTATCCCATTCCTATATAACCAGCACAGTTATAGTCAATGCACACTGATTCCATTTACACTCTTGTAGCAGTTTTTGCATTTGTTTCCTGCTGCTAGATCAGCAGAAATTTGAAGGAATCTGTATTAGTTCTGTCTTACAACAGGTAAGAACAGCTTAACCTCCTGTGGTGGCCTGGCCTTGGTTTGCTGCCACTCTCTCACTCCTCCTCCTCAATAGGACAGGAGGGAGAAAGTAAGATAGAGTGATCACTGTTACAGACAAAATGTAAATTTAGTCATATGTGGGAACCCTCTTGCTATTTTATTCAATCAAAAGTCAGGTCTCTAGTCTGCAGTTACTGATCAGGGTCCCTTTATGGCCAGTAGAAAAAGACAGGCACAATCAGATGCACATTCAGTATGTCCTAAACTATAGATGGATGGGTGGGCTACACATCCCTTCAGAACCCCCTCCACTGGCTACAGAGGTAAACAAGACAAGATATTATTTCCTTCTTTCTCTTTCCCGGGCTGCTGGATGTCTACTCTAAAACAAGATGATTCTCTGCCAGAGAAGAAGCAGCCCTTCCTACTTGAGAAGCTGATTTTAGTGGTCTGTGGATCAAACAGCTTCTAGAATTTCACTATCACGGAGGTCCAACATCTTGTTATGAAGATGTCACAGCCTAGTACCAAAGCAGGACTTCTTGAAGTTTCATGAAGGTTTTTGAGTCTTTGAGTCTTGGGTATGCGCATGCATGTGTGTGTGTGTGCATGCACACATAAGGGTTCATGTGTGTGTGTTTGTGTGTTTATGCCTATACACTCCTAAAGGGAAAAGGCTAGGGAATGGGTTTGAGTGCAAGACTTGTGATCATCCAGCCTGGTCATCAAACAGAGCTTTCTGACTCTGTTTGGAACCACTCCACTCCAAGACAAATCTTCTCAGGAAAGCCCAAGCCAGTTGGTGCCAAATGACTTTTGGTTTACCTGCAGAGACACAGCTATTACCTGTGCTATAACAACATTAGATTACTGTGTGCTGAATTGGCCCGAGGTACAAATAAAATATTGGGTTTCAAGGAAGAAGTCAGGAAGTGTTTTAAAAATAAGGATGTGGAAAGATGACTTTATGGAAGAGGTCCAGTTTCTTAAACAAAGTCATATGGAGCCATTTGAGATGCCCTGGGGTACCAAACATGTCCACTCAGTGCTGCAAAAGACAGCACAAAGCCTATGGGGGATTTGCTTCTGGCATGGAAGCCAGGCACCCACTGGGCTATCCTGTGGTGCCTACAGTCACAACAGGGCCATAGGTTCAGGCAACTGTATCATACACTTACTCATTAATCCCAGGTTTACATATTTTCTTTAAAGAATTAATTTCAAAATCTGTTTTTTTTTTTCTTTTCTTCTTTTTCTATACAGCTCTTCAGGGAATGATGATATCCTTACTGAAAGTGAGTGGGGCTTTGCGTTGTGAGTAGACGTTAGATTCAATATTATTTACCCCAGTGACAACTCTCCTCTGATGAATGTGAGAATGGCAAAACCAGGCAAAAAAATGAGAAAGGGGAGCTGTTCCTAATATTCATCATTAATTAGATAATTTTCTTTTTCTTTTTTTTTTTTTTAATTTGGGAAGGATTTCCTTTTTTCTTTCTTCTTTTTTTTTCGGTTTGTTTTGTTTTGTTTTTTTTTTTTTTGTTTTGTCTTTAAGGATTTGGAATTAGCTAAACCTTTCTTCAACCTGCTTTTTAAATTAATAATTGCTTTGTATTCTCCAGTTTTATAAATTAAAAAAAAAAAAAAATCACCAGTACATTACATTCTTTTAATTTAGTGGCTGCTTTCCAAAGCAGGGAGTTAAGAAAATAAAGCAACTTTATAGCCAGAGTAAGATAAAGAATACTGTCCTAAGAGACAACACTATTTATACTCCCTTTGTATTTGTGTTTCCTATTCTTTCCTCATCTCCATTCTACCCTCTGTAATTAAAATTGTAGCCTCTGAAATAATTTTACATTTCCTTTCCAGGGATAATGCTGTTTTACCCCCTACAGAAATTCCAATGGTGTTATTGATAGTACAGGCAAGATATAAAGGACAGCTAGCACTTTAGTCTGTGCAATTTAAACCTGCTCTTTGTAGCTGGGTCATTATGATGAAATAGGTGATGGCTTCACAAATGTCTTGACATGAGTGGGGTCTTGATGTTACATATGTTCTAACAATTACAGTGATGTGTAAAAATACCCATCGTTCTGAATGTGGGTCCTCTCCTCAGAAAAAAAGGGAGGTGGTCTAGGTTTCAGCTTGATGGAGTCACATAGCATGGAGTCACATGGCTTTTTTGTTTAATCTATATAGAGAAATATATGCTTAGTGTGCTTGGTTTGTCTTCTGGAACTCTTCACAAGCAAGTGTGCCTTTTCACTGAGAGTAGAGGGAAATGTTGTATCATTCATTGGGACTGTATTTCTCCCTTATGGTAAGACACGCCACGTGTAGACACATATCCCCTAAATCTGGGTTCTTAAACTAGCCACCTGGACATAGGCTATTATATAAAAGTGGTGTTATCATTGTCATCTTCCTCAATTTAACAAAGAAAATCTTGGAAAAAATTCTGGCTCAAGGACTCCAAGTAGCTGGGATCAGATAAGTGGCAAAGAGAAGAAATGTCTCAGTGACACCCTTGTCCATGGTCACTGTCTCTGAGCAGCAAAATGCATTTGTTCCAGCTGATGCAAAATAGCCGTGTCGCTGTAGCCAGGGCAGGGGTAGCAGTGGTGTTGGGGAAGAATCTGTGGACAGCCATGTGGGCTGGTGAGAGTGATCCCTGAGTTGTGTCTCACTGGGATGGCTCACAAGTCTGGTGTCACAGAGACCAGTTGCTTCACTTCAAAAGAAAGCCAGGGAGCTAATTAGTGTTTATGAATCAGATCAGGGACATCAGATAATCAAACATGTACTGGGGGGTGCCAAGATAGCTGTCAGTGTAAGAATAACTATTATTTCCTAAATTATTTCCCTGTATGAATAATGTGTTGGCTGTGGTGGAGTCCTGAGACACCTGTCTTGCACTGACTAACTAGGTTAAGCCTAACAGAGAGTCTGGATTTAACTGTAGGTGCATTTTAGACACTATAGTCTTTAATGAATCTAATTATGAGGTCATTCATAATGTGATGCATGGCAGGAACTTCATGGGGTGAAACCCATTAATACAAAATGCACTCATAAAAACCAGCAACAGGATTATCCTGCTATCATAAACTCATATCTTTGGGAGTTTAAGAATCATTGTAAGGAAATACAAAGAACAATCTGAAACAATGCAGTGTTAATTGGCAAGTTTTTTTCAGAGTGAATAAATGTTCTTTCACACAAATCCAAACAGTGCCAGGCACAGTGGAGGCTGATCCTTATTTTGGAACTACAGGCAATATAGGAAAACTGCACAGTCTGCAGCTGCCTTGTCATGCTCCTTCAAAGGTGAAATAGTGGTGGCAAAGTTAAATCGTTCAGAATACCAGAGCTCCAGTAAAAGCAAGCACTGCTCAGTATCGAACAACATAAAGAAATGCTGGTATAAAACAGTGAAATATACCTTTATCCGTCCCCCCTCTAAAGCCAGTGACTGGTTTGAGTAACGCTTGGTCATACCTAGAGCTTTTCCAAACCAGTGATGTACGTAAGAGCTGTCTGGCAGATGTGGAATAATCCAAGACAAATGCAGGACATGCTGGATGGGCTGCACATGCTGCACAAGGGGCAGTGCTAGGCCTGCCTGTCTGCTGCAGCTCCCAGGAGGTGATAGGTGAGGTTGGGTGGCCAGACAGAACCTAGCTGTCATATGGCTGATGACCCAAGATACAAAGTTTTTGACTTGTGCCAGGGCTACCAGAGATCCAGAAGTCACAAAACAAAACCAGGAATGTGTCAAAATATGCTTAGAGGGAGCTTCTCAGTTGAAAGGGGAGGGGGGAGACATTGGGAAAAATTTGGAAAAGCTCGCTGTATGCTAGAGTACTTGCAGACAGTGACATGAAACAGACCTCAACTCTTCTCGGTGTTTTTTGAGGCAAGAACAGTTCTTTTTTAAACATCATTAGTTTTTGTGAGCTTAGAAATGTTAAAATGTGATCAAAGTAACAGTTTGTTCATTAATAATATGCTCTAGAACTGAGCAGTGATTCCTAGTTGAGAAATGGGTAGTACTCAGCCCGGGTTTCTGATTGGCTTTAGGGAGCTTGAATGCGTGGCCTTATTTCACTGCAAAGCCCTGGCAGACTTTGCACATTAAAATTCTAAACTGTCTAAGTAGGTGTGAAACTAATTTTGTGTTTATTTTTTAAATACCACCTCTGATCATTTAGGGCCATCCACTTCACTTTGGGAGGCCCTTACCTAGCTGCAGGTGGGCCCTAGGAGACAATAAAGCCCACCTCAGAGAGGATAATTTCTTGAATATCATAACCTGAATATTTATAGCTTCTAGAATCGTTGTACCTACTTATCCATGTTTCCAGCCACAACTTTTCTTAATAAGAAGGGCTTTGAAACTCTTGCTAAATCTGGACATAAAAGGAAACAGAAGTTTCCCTAGTGCAGTGGAATTTTTTAAAAGTCACATAGTAACTTTATTGATGAAACAAGGAAGAAAGCGCTTTTCCACCAGACTTTGCAGAACTTATTTACAAAACAGAAGATTTTTTCATTAATGTGTAGGCAGGGCAAAGTTGTGGTGAGGTTTCCTGCGGGGTGAGGGTACTTATGTGGCTTGTCATTTCATCAGTGGGTTATCTTATTCTTTTGATTGTGGTGTTTTAATATTTATGAGAGACAAACCTTGGGGGAAAAAAAGTACTTTCAAAGAAAGATGAAAGCTTTCAGAGACATTTTGCCATCTTAAAATTTTATTTAACATGAAAATGCATGCTGCATCCTCTTTACAAAACTCAAAAATGTTTGCAAATCACCTGTGCATCTGTAATTTATTATCTTGACAGAATCTGCTTTGCAGTTCACTTAGTCACTGCCAGAGACAAGCTCCAAGTTACCAAAACTGGTCAGTGAAATCCAGAGAGCACTGAAATCATGCGGGCTGACTGGCGTTCCCCCTCATATTCAGACATCTGATTTATGGTATCTAAATAAAAGTGTCTGCAGTAAACTAGAGAGCTAGGTTTCTTTTCCTGTCAGTGGAGAAGTGAAGAGCTAGGGCAGGATTTAGTTGTCTAAGTGTGGGCATCTAGTGTCATTAGAGATGCCCAAGTGTCTCCCACCATGTTTCTTCTGGGTCCTCAGAGAGGTTCAGGTCACCTGTAGGTATGTCCCATGTCTATCATGCCTATCTATCAGCCCCATGTGGGTGACTTGGGTATCCCAGATTATCTATCTCAAGTGACACAAATATGTTATGCAGTAGAAATGCACTTTTAACTGTTTGAATCCAAACCTGCACACTCGCATCAGTGCACTGCAGTGTGCAGACAGTATGTGATCTTTGCTTCTGCTGCAGTGTGCAGTGTATTATTTTTTGAGTGCTGCTCTTCAATGATTTCTGAGAGGTCAGACCCCTGGCTTTGCTGTCTTCCCCACCACCTATGTAATGGCTGCATGTAGCTCTGGGAAATCAGAAACTATGGCTTTAATAACAGTGTCTGGAGTAAACGTATCGAGGGAGCATATTAATGGTTAACATGTAGTTAGATTAATGCAGAAGCACAAATATGCACATACATCTACTGTATTGAAGGATGATAACTCATTTTATTCTTAGTAGTTACTTATTTCTCAGACTCCAAAAACCTGAAGATGAAGGGGCAGCCATGATATAGATGCTAAGCAGCAGTATGTCCACTCTAGGCATACGTGACAAAAGAACTATAGGTAAGAGGGCAGGTGATAATCACTGCCACTAAATAAATTTTCAGAAACTGAGCCAGATTTTCAAAGATCCTTCAGCCAACAGCTCCATTACCTCTGCAGGGTTGGTAGGATGAAAAGTGCTTTTTGCAAATGTGTCCTTTCTTTCTCAGAGGTATGAAAAAATCCCACCACCACCAAATAGGATGACTTTAGCTGCTGAATGAGGTTTCAAATTTAGTGCTAGCAGGCTATAAATCATCCGGGGAAACTGTAATGTCTTACTGTGAACGACGTGACCTAGGAAGGGTAGCAGTTCTGTGGAAGTGTTATTACTATGTATGCTTAATACGCTGCTACCTATGTTTATATTTGTATTTATACTACTATGTATGCTTGTGTTATTACTACATTTGTAAGTGTAAGAACTAAAAGCTAAGGCATCATTATTCCACTACATACTGTCCCCTTAAATC